CCAGTACGCTTGCATGGGGCGTGAACCTGCCAGCTCATCTTGTCGTCGTCAAGGGTACACAATTCTTTGACGCAAAAACGGAAGGGTACAAAGATATGGATCTCACAGATGTGCTGCAGATGTTGGGTCGTGCTGGACGTCCTCAATTCGATGATTCAGGCATCGCGCGTATCTTTACGCAAGACGCAAAGAAAGAGTTCTACAAGCATTTCTTGCATACTGGATTTCCCGTCGAATCATCACTGCACAAGGTGCTGGACAACCATTTGGGCGCCGAAATCTCTGCTGGTACCATTGCTACGAAACAAGACGCGCTAGATTACCTGACTTGGACGTTCTTCTTCCGTCGTCTGCATAAGAACCCGTCCTTCTACGGCCTAGAGATCTCTGCAGAAGAGCACAACACAATTGCTGCACAGTCGCTGGCAAATGACTACATGGTTGAGCTAGTGGAGACTTCCCTCAGCGAACTGGACGAGTCTTCTTGCGCTATCGTTGAGCCAACGGGCGAAGTTGATCCAACACCACTCGGCAAGATTATGAGCTACTACTACCTCAGCCACAAAACGATCCGCTACCTTGTAAAGAATGTCAAGCGCAACGCAACCTTCGCGGATGCTCTGGCATGGATCTCTCACGCCACCGAATACGATGAGCTGCCTGTTCGCCACAACGAAGACCTCATCAACGCCGAGCTTTCAAAGGCCCTTCCCATCCCGGCAGATGACTTTGGTCTACCCTTGTGGGATCCGCATGTCAAATCCTTTTTGCTTCTACAAGCCCACTTCTCGCGCATCGACTTACCAATTTCTGATTATGTCGGCGATCTGAACAGTGTGTTGGATCAGAGTATCCGTATTGTACAGGCCTCGATTGATGTACTCACTGAACTGGGCTACCTCTCCTCGTGTGAGACAATGATCGCAATCCTTCAGGCTATCAAGTCAGCGCGCTGGCCAACTGATGGGCCATTATCAATCTTCCCAGGCGTAGAAGTTGACAGCGAGAAGAAACGTCTCGAGCATCCTAAGGCCAGTCCAAAGGATCTCATCGAGACTACCACTGCATCGCCCGCCGTGCTCGAACGTGCAGCCAAGTTTGCTGGCGTCGCACACACTGGCATCAAGCGTTTCATCGAGCCGGTATCACGTCTGCCAGTACTGAAGCTTGATCTAGGCAATGTCAACGCACTTGCCTTGGACTTTAGAATCTCACGCCAGAACCCGGCCAAAATGCAACAAGGCGGCATACGCATCTTTGCTCCACGCTACCCAAAGCCGCAGACGGAGGGCTTCTTCGCCATTGTATCGTACTCTAGTACGGATGAGATTATCGCCCTGAAGCGCGTCAACTGGCCTGATCCAAATAAGAACAGTGGCCGTGGACGTGGTGGACGCGGCTCAAGTGCGCCTGGTGGTGCACAGTCCAGGTTACAAGCTTCGACTAAGGTCTCATTGCCCCCTGAAGCACAAGGCAAGAAGGTGAGTATCAGCGTCCTTAGTGATTCATATCCAGGCATGAAGTGGAAGATCGAGGGGGTAGATGTGCCTGAAGCGCCTGTTGTAGATGCATATGGAAAAGGGAAAGAGAAGGCGTAGTAAAGCAGATATAGTGATAATCCTGTTTAGTGCAAATCAGGATTACTGTAGAGGCATGGATAAAGTGTCTCAATGCATAATTCAAAGAAGTAGATATTGAACTACTTCGTCATCCTCCTCCTTGTCTATTCTGTCGCGATCTGCCTTGTAGTCTCTAACATCAACATGCTGCTGCCCTAAGAGCGTACACCCTTCCCTATACGCTCTCTCATACAAACGTCTCGCGTCCCCTCTCTTCCCAGCCTTCTCCATAACAAACCCCAACGTCCAAACGCTCTCCACCGTCGCCTGCTGTAGCCTGCTCAAAACTCTCTCTCTTGCCTCCAAGGTCTGCCGCGCCACTCTCTCCGCTTCCTGTACTGCGCGAGAAGTGCCCTGACATGCAAGGCTGTACGCGAACTCATTAGAGATCTGCATCACCTCTTCATGTTCTTCTGGGAATATCTCTCTATAGCTAGCTAGCGCACGTCGAAATAAAGGCTCCGCTTTCTTGTAGTCGTGCTGAGCGACCAGCGCTCTTGCGAATCTGACCAGGGTCTCGGACAGTCTTTTGTTGTTATGGGAAAGCGTCTTCTCTGTGTACGCGAGCGCTTCTTTGAGGTACCTTGTGGCTTTCTTAGGGTGCGTGTCGAGGTGCAGGCTTAGACCGATGAGTGCGAGAGCGTCGTACCAGTCGTCGTCGTGGACATCGGGAGGTGTGTTGCGATTACAGAAGGCTGCGTACCATCCTTTGTAGGCATCGTGATACTGATCTGCTCTCAGGGCATAGAAGGCGAGCTCGTTGCAGCAGCTCTGTACGTCAAAGCCGAGAGCGCCAAATGCAGACATCACGAGTGAGGCCATGGTGTTGGATTGGATGTGCCGACGCGATGTCGCGGTGATGAAGGGATGCGTGGGATTGACTTGCAATGATGCTTTGAGGATGAAGAGAAAAGAGTCATGGAGATGGATCAGGCGTGTCAGAATAATGAATTATTGTCATTGACGATGATGAGTGTCTTTCCGATCACTCACATGTGTGCTATCAAGTCCGCCGCTGCTCTTCACGTCCGCGCCGCGCGACATCTGCCAGCCTTTGTTGGAGACCTGTTTGTATGCTTTGCCTCTCTATCCTCCTCCCCGACACAGTCCTTCGTGCCTCTACTTCTTATCTTGGGTATATGTACATGATTCGTAGCGATCGCTTCGTGTGAGGCTGTCTTTGGGTGGCCGCGTAGCGATGAGTGTATGAGGTAGATCGCTGTGGATCAGCTCAGTCGTCGCCAAAGACGATGAAGCTCGCTTCTTCCTCAATCTTGAAGTATGCGCAGTCACTGTCACTGAATTCGCTTTCGCAGTCAGAGTTGTCCTCGTCAGAGTCAACATCTTCCCAGTCACTGTCTCCATCATCCTCCTCGATCTCGCAGGTTGAGTCAAGGACGGCTTGTGACTCCTCTGCCTCAGACCACGAAGTAATGTTGCTTGACTCGTCTGTTGAGCCGACATGGTGTATCTTTCCGTGAGAGTAGTCTTCCGAATCCTCTGAGACATCATCTTCTTGTTCCCCTTCCTCAACAACTGTGTGTTTCCCAGGCTCGTAGCGCGGCGATCGCCTATGGAAGTACGGATTGGGTCGTCCGGGCTCGAAATCGGTGTCCGGGGCAAAGACAACTGCAGCCTGTTTGTTCGATCGCGGTCGCTTTTCTAAGCAACCCGTAGTCTCTGACCAGTATAGCTCCACGGCCTTCGCTGCGGTTCGCACGTCTTCGTGCGCGACCTCTGGATGCTGCGCAGACCATGAAGCTTCTTCTTCGGCCATGAGCTCAAGTCTCGATAGCTCCTTGAGTGTGCCGATCTTCCCCTTGCACCAGGCGCTGTAAACGGTGTGTTGGTGTTCTGAGCTGGTGAGTGTACAAGATGGCGCGCAACCGCCTGCGCTTTCGAGAGCCTCTGACAATACATTCATGTATCTGATGTGCAGGTCGATGATACAGACGGGACATCGTGATTGTAGCTGGCCGGCTGCTACAGGGTGCATAGGATGCTGACATATCGATGCGACTGGCGATTCGAAGGAGGATGACGTTTCCGAAGAACGTCCGTGGGTAATGTGACCGGAGATGTCGTCAAATGGGTCTGAGAAGTATCCAGAGTCTTGTCGTTTCAACCACTGGTGGAAGTCTTCATATTCGCGTGCTGTGGGGATGTAGCCTTGCTCAGCTGGCCTAGTATTCGTGTGCAGACACTGCCATCGCTTGTACTGCTTCAGCTCGCGGGGCGGCATGATGACGCTCGCGGGTATCTTGGTGCAAGCCATGGTGGCGTTGTGTGTTGCGTGGTAAGGGCAGGTCAGTGACGTGCAGGTAGAGAGCAGGACTTGTGGTGCCGTAGACGTGTCGCGGGGCGATGGAGATTGACTGCTGTTGCTGTGTATGCTAGGAGTGTTCACAGTCTCGTCCGACAGATGTAGTGCGTGTCCAGGTGGTCCCTGAGGAAAGTCACGGGTGCAGCACTACCACGGTTGAGCGGTTCGTTTGCGGGGAATGTGACCGCTGGTACCAGGGAAACTCTCGGTTGCGCAGATGTCTTTTGGACGAGCCTCTGTTCGTTCACTGCTGCAAGCACGGTCGTGATGTTTGTGCGCGCGCTGTGAAGGGTGGAGGCGAAGATTGTTTCGGATCGGTTGGACGTCCTTTGTCACAAGTCGCAACTTGTGAGCGCGACTGTCTCTGCGTTTCCGCTTGAAACGCTCCCTCAAAGTCTGACGTCTACGCCAGGAGGCTATAGGTGTATAGAGATGTTCGGAGTGGCAGTGTCGCGCTCAGACGCGGTGACCAGTGCGGACGTCGTCGCCCAACTTCGCGATCTTGGGGAGATTGGAGTACCAGAAAAAAGCCATGATTCTCGGGCAGATATAATCCATTCCTGTCGCTTTGCTGGGTGGAGTGGAAATTTCGCGATGTGTCGCGCGGGGGTTGCCGTCGACTTGGGCCGGCGTCGGGTGCGGATGTGGGGGAGGGCGGCTGCTGTGAAGACGAAGGCGGGGCAGACGCGTCTGCTATGAATGACTTGTGAGGCGGCTCTCTGCTGGGCTTCACTGTCGATCGCGAGTAATATCGCGTCTTCAGTGTGGGTAGGGGCGTAGGGGCGTGTGGGTGTGAAAGGGTCAGCTTTCGTGGGCTGGGCTCGACACTATCGAATGGACGGTGCGGGCGTTTCGTCATGACCCCCTGACTCATTTGGTTCGCGCTAGTGCAGATTAGCGCATCATCCTGTCGCGGAGCCCCTCAGCCACACATACGCCACACCACCTCTCACTTCCTCACGAATGACTTGACCGCCAGACAAGATATAACTACCTAGGTATGGGATTCGCATACGAAACTACCGCAACAACGCCTATGGTATCAAATATCTCTAGGTCTAGCTCAGCGGCCTCGCAGCCCTCGCCATGAAGCACTGAATCTGGCCCACCTCCTCGCTTGGTAGCTCAATCTCGAAGTTTCCCTGCAGCACCTCAAAGCGGAAACCGACCAACCCAGCCTCCCGCATCATCGATGCCATGTCACTTTCCTTCTGTTGCGTATGTTTCGCTTTGCCTGTCTCTTGCACAGCTTCGCTTACAACGTAGCTGTACAGATCCTGAATGAGAAGGACGCCTCCAGGCTTCAGCCTCTGCCCTAAGAGCCGGAGAGCGTCCTTTGCAGAGGGAAAATGGTGCAAAGCTGCGCCGACTGTGATGAGGTCGAAATTGCTATACTCTTCGCTGTCGAGCGAAGAAGGCTCGATCGGGTCTGACAGCAAGTTGCCGACCGTGCCTGCAATATTTTCGCGTCTAAGGCCGAACGTGTCTATGTTGTTGATGTACTTCTCAATCATGGTACGAGATACATCAACTGCGTGTATGGAAGATACGTATGGTCCGAATATCTGATTTACGATCAACGAGGGACCTGCGTATTGTACGCAAGTGTACGAACTTTGCTCTGCAGGGAGGTACGAAGTCAGTATATGTCTCACATGCACTTCGTACAGCTAGAACTTACCATGAACCCGGGCCCGCACGCATAGTCCAGCATGTGCACTGCCTTGCCCGTTTCTGTGCCACCCGGAGGCTTAGCCCAGTCGATGCCTACAAAAGCGATCCTATCGACAAGTACACGAGCAATCTGTTGACGGCTGGCCTTGTTTATTGGGCGCTCTTCAAACCAGTCTGACACCTGCCTGACACGCTTTTAGCTGATGCAGTACTGCAGCGTCTGCGGATGGTACAACTCACCCTGTGTCTTTCTCGTGGTGTGGAGCTGACATATTGCTCAAAGGTCTCGCGTCGCAACGTGATGCTGCGCCTTGCTGTGTGCTCTGCGAAGCGTACTTATACAGGTCATATTCCACTGATTGCTCCATGAGCACCCCATTGGATTTGCACTGGTTTGCAATAAGTCTCCGGCTTCATAGTCGTCGGCGACTTTCAGAAGCACGCTCGGATACATGATGCCCTTAATGAGGCTACAGAAAAACATCCGGATAGAGACACAGCCTACTGTTGGAGCCTCGCTCCTCCTGTAACTGCTCTTATGTCCCACATTCCTTATTGTATCCGCTTTGGTGCGCAAATAATGTCGTACGTTGCTGATAGCATCCAAGTTGACAGGGTGAGCATCGCCAGGTCGGCTCTCCACCAGACGATCAAATCACACATGCTGTGCACCAACCGGTGAGCCAGGTTTACCATTAAGTCACCACACCTCGTGGAACTCAAGCCTACCACGATGAGCTCAGCCCGAAATATGGTTCGAACGCGCAGCGCGGACTTTCCGAACAGCCGCAAAGTTGTGTATCTGGGTACGTACACCTTCCCAACCAGTCACAGCGGCCTTCATATTAGTAATTGGGCCTTCGCATATTGGCTTCCTCGGTGAGATTCATAGCGTCGCACATCGGTTGAGTGCATACTCCTCTACCCACTGCTACAATGCGACACCAGGTTCTGGAGGTTGGTTTGCGGGGTTACCGGACGCTCCCGCACAACGCTGCAATCTAGACGAAGACCTCGCCGTCTGACCCACCACACCTGTATAACGAACGAACGATTTTGTCTCCTTCAGCTGACATATTCTCGGCTTTTCCGGGCCAAGCGAGATGGTATGGAGCATGACTGGACCCAGCAAATCACGAACCTAATATTAGTCCTGCTTTCAGCCCGACCCTAGTCCAGGGCTGAACTTTGGCTTCTACCGAAAGCCACAACGCTACATCTCCGACGAGAAGGTTATGTTCTCGCAATCGAAACAGATGGGCGGATGTATCATGCGATACAGGTCCGTCGTGAGAGCAATACTGTACAACTCTTTTCTTGTTGGATCTTTTGGGCTATGGAGTGCTTAGGGTAGACATATAGCGGCTGAATAGAATGAAATGCTCGGCTCCATTCCCATCACTATGCGCGCGATCGAACCACAACTAGCATTCAACGAATGATGATGTGTTCGTTGAATGAACTGTGGATGCGATGGTGCTGACAGCAAGCCTCACGAACCCCAATTGGTCCTTGTCATGACTAGGTACATGCTAATTGCTAACTGTTGTGCTTACTGTTGTGCGGTAGACATGCCCTAACCTAAGTCCGGATGATCCACAACCCAGAAGCACTCAGGCGCGCTCAGGTATGCATGCTACCCTGTCCTTACCCGTCAGCACTTCTCTTGCATTTCCTGAAGGCGCAGCTGCATTTGGGTCATGTCTCTTGCCCACCCGGGCAAGCTCAAAGCTAGTGAGCTCGCTGTTCCCTCAAGATTCCGATCCACCCTTCATACCTAGTACCTTCTATCAGGCAAAATGGATCGACGTGAAGAATATCGCGAGGACATGAGCAGTCCCCGAAGCTATGCCGATAGCCAGTGGAGCCCACCTTCGCACTTCCAGGAACACAATCAGATATACCCAGTCGATGGTTCTTCACAACCCTACTCCAACTCGAACACCTCGCCAGCAGTCTCACCCCCACTACCATATGAACAAGAGTACCATCAGTCTCCACAGCCGCAGAACTATGAGGCATACAAAGAAGGGTAAGTCTGATCTCTCCCATTGTCTTTTCCAATGTAATCATCACACCGCACGGCCGCTTCTTGGCCCATAATCTAACGCTATAGCAGGTATTCGACAGAGAAAGAGACTCCGTATAGCACACTCGACCCAATAGGCACGCCTACTCCAGACTTCTCCGGACCTCAAGTGTATGTGCCCTGTACTAACTACTTGTGATACACACACTGACTTCATCCACGAATGTGCAGAGTGCCCGGCCAGTTCAGTCACTACCCTCATGGAGGCCGACCAATGTCACCTTCATCGCATGGAGGCACTACCATCACGTCTCCAAACATCCGGCCCTACGGTTTCAAAGAGCATGTCGACTCGTATGAGAGTTATCATGAACCTGCCCATCCAGTGCCACCAAAAGACGATCGAAGATGTGGCATGAAGAAGCGCACTTTCTTCATCCTCATTGGTCTCGGTGTTCTTGCACTCATCGGTCTTGGCTTGGGACTCGGTCTGGGTTTGGGTCTAAGGAAGAAGGAGTCGTAAGTTTCAACAAGTGTACTTCTTCATGCACTCCTTATTCTAACGCAACGCAGACATAAGGACATTGTTCATCCTTTCTGTCGCGATAACCCAGAATCATGCATCGGCGGTTCTCTCAACGCCGAGTATATGTCGAAAAAGGGTGTATTCAGTGAGTACATATCTGTAAGGTGAATGTGAAATGCACACTAACCTTGTATCTACTTCCTCCCAGACGGCACTGGTATCGCTCTAGCTGGAGAGTCGTGGAATAAAGGCCAACGACGAATCTTCACGCTCTACTTCCAGCATCATACAGGCGACATCCGATTCATGCAATATACCACAGATAGGCAATGGATTGGTGGAACCAAAGCTCAGACTGTGGCCAGTGATGCAAAGGACGCATCGCCCATATCCGCGGTCGCGTTCGCCATCAATGAAACCCAATTTGTGAGTACTCTGAAACTGACTTTGACCCCTTCTTAGTCTTCTTCTCGAGTAGATGTACTAACTACGAGTAGTTCCACATCTTCTACATTGACAAGAACAACACAGTCAAGCAACTGACGCAAACCAACGTCACCGACATCTGGGAGCCCGGACCACTCAGCGACCTCAACCTCAAAGCATTCGACTCGCCGACCACTGGGCTGCAGGCGTGCTGGAAGGGTGACTTCTATGGTGACACTGACTTTACAGAATTCCCCACCGCTTCTGGTCTAAATAACACAGTCCCATTTACAGGACGAAAGGGCATGGTAAGTTCCATGTTTGTAGAGTTACTTGAGTTGATACGCTGACACCATCATCATTACAACAGAACATCTGGTACGCCATCGACGAATCGACGTTTCAGCAATATGCTTGGTACAGTGGCCAAGCGGAGGAAACCTGGATCGCGACCGATAAATGGTCTGGTTTCAATGGCCACGGCGGCGTCGGCTGCTACAGCTGGGGTGCTGGCTCCACATCCTACGCCATGCTGAACAACAAGGACAACGACGTCGAGTTCTGGTGGAAAGACACGAATGAAAACCTGACGTCCACAGAAACCCATCCCATCAACTCGTGGCAAAACGCCACCATGGGCACCATACAGGACGTGTATCCCATCACGTCGCTGGGCTACACAACATACTTTTACGCACAAATGGCGGATCGAAGTATCAGAGGATACAACGTTACGTACCAAGCCGAGAACACGACGTTCCTCGCAAACGAGACGTTTGCTATTACTAATCCCGCCGGCCCAGTACTTGGGCTTGGGGGTACACATCTCACTGTCACTGCATTTGCTGAGAAGCGTGGGGAGGAGACGGTGTGGGACAGCCTGTATGTCTTTTATCAGACGGAAGGCGATGATATTACGGCTTTCACGCGAGGTATGCTGGGCTTCCCTCCTGATTCAATGCTGTAGTCATACTAATACATCTTAGGATTGGAAGGCGGTGAGTGGAATCAGGGACCCTTGCAGATTCCCGATGAATAGGTATGGAATGGGAGAGCAGGATTGATGACTTTCGCTTCATGTCAGATTACTGGGGTTTTCATTATCGCAGTCACTGCGACGGCTAGTCCTGGGCGTTTGCGCTGGGTACCGGCTGGTACAAACATTCTATATCATGATTTTACGAGCTTCACGACAGAGCGTCCGTGGTCTCTGGGGTTTCCCCTTTGGAAATGTCGTCCCATTATGCAAGTCGTTTCCATTATCCATGTACACAGTACTGTGAGCCCACAGAAGGACGCGGTATTTGTATTGTTGTGGCCTGTCTGAACACACTCGATGCGACTGTCAAGAGTGAAACTAGCTCTTGTCTTTCCAAGCTCCAGCGCCATAACCAGCAGTAGGTAGTTTTCCTGGAAACGAGTATGGTAAGCGACGGAGCCATTGACAGCAGGCGGATGGTAGTCTCGTCAGGAAGCGAGCGCGTCCATCAATCCTTGAGGCGCGTACCTGCAATGTCTTCCTGAGCGTCTCTGATGAGGAAGCTGGAAGCTGTTAGCCTTGGAAACATGTTGACGTGAGATTGTAACTCACTTGTACCACAAAACGGTCGGCAACACCGTACCCAGATGCCACAGGCTGTGCGCATCAACCATGCCCATCCAGGGCGGGAAGTCCAACAGCTCCAGGCTCATAGCCAAGATGATCCAGGCAACACACAGACCCGGCCAGACAGCCCAGGTCCTCCCAATCTTCTGATACTGAACGTAACTGAAGCCGCTCCAAAGCAGGTTGGACACGATACCAACAGCGACATTGGCAGCCATGTTGTACGTGTAATCCCAGGACCAGAGCGAGAGGTACAAGACATGCAACGTATACAACGTAATGCACAGTCCCGTCCAGAGCCTCAGCAAGCTCTGTTTCCTCGGCTCCTTCCTGTCGAGTCGGAACACTCTGATGGGCGCATAGTACAGCCCATACAGAACATTCGCGCCCGCAGCGAAGTAGTCCAGCTTCTCCGTGACCCCAAAGTCTCTGGTATGGAATATCATGCTGAACGTCCAGCTCGCCAGGCCCACGTAGCCAAACCACAGGTAGTATTTCCGCAGCGGGTACGACGCGGGAATCTTGTCGCGGAGCTGCGACATGCCCCAGTCGTGCGCGAGGTAGTTGAAGAGGGAGAAGATGACGCTAAACGGCTCTTGCATGCCCATGAAGCGGTAGAAGGGCCATTTGCCGTGGAATTGGTAGATGGGTTGCATGTAGGGAGGGTCGCGCGCGAGGCGTTGGGTGGTTATGATGTGCTGACACGTGTAGTCGCATTCTGAGGGACAGTCCCAGAGGAGCAGGCGGCGGTGGAAGGCTGCGCGTGTGAGTAGGCGTGGAGGAGGGTGATTAGGGTGGGCATACGTATTGACGTGCCATCTGGACCGCAATTGGCTTCTTTACACACCTGTAGATGAGCAGTTAGTTACATGTCTCAAGTCGGTGAAGGCGCATTCTCCTTGCTCATGTCTCCAGCCAAAGCGCAACTCCATCTACACGTACTTGAACACAGTCCTTGAAATCGGGCAGTCTGTCACCCAATGAAGCCTGGGCTGCTCCGCCCAGCAGAAGCAGAACGGCGAGGGTGTGCCATGCAGAGGCTATTCGTAGCTTCATGGTTCACCGATGTGGAGGGGTGCGGCTGCCATGTGGTTTCGTCTCGTGTTCTCAAGTCGCGTGTCTGCGATGGATCGACAGGGTCTTGGCGGGCCGGTAACTCCGTCGTTCCCCTGGCACGTGTGATGGAACGACGACGACATCGAAGCTCGCAGTATGGACATAATGCGCAATAAGTATGGGGTACTGGTGTTTCTAGGCTATTGTCTTGAGGAAAAGAAAGTGGAAAGATGCGTTATAGTCGACGTCCTTACCAGAGCGAAGGCTAACAAGATCTAAAGCAATATACATTTACAAAGTCATTTACTACTGTTTTTATGCTCGCAATACATCATTGCTCGTCGCTCAAACAGTTGCTATCGTGTCGTCTTCAATGTTCAAGATCTCTATCCCCGGTTTGACTCCATACAAACGTATGGTTCGGCCAACAATCGGATACCATTCGGATTCCACATTCCAACAGCCCCACCTTTGGGCCACTGGTTAGAAGAGGAGTTGTTCTTCGGTTGGTTAGTTTGTCGTACGGTGAGTGGCTCTTCCCCGCTTCCACCCAACATTGCATACGTTCTAATTCCACAAATCTCCATCAACACCAGTCTTCAAGACACCAGGGCGTGTGGCTCAGTGGTAGAGCGGTTAGTTATCACCTTGTGCAGAGTGTATGCGACACAAGTACTGACTTAAGTAGTCCGCTTTGCAAGGCTTTTCGCACTAGACCTAGTGCAGAAGACTTGAAAACAATTGCGGAAGGTCCGGGTTTCGGTAAGACAGTGAATTGAACGAGTTCGAGCACAGTTGCTAACAAAGTCGGTAGATCACCCGCCCGTCCATATCTTTTTGCCCCTGCAGACGTCTGGCAGCTAGAATACCTCTATTCGACTGTCTAGCTTTTTGTTATTCTTAGTTGATTAGACAATTTTTGCTCGCAAGATATACCGCCCAAAGAGAGGCGGATAGTGCTGCTCAACGACGCTACCTTTACCATATTAACTCATCTCAGAGACGCAAGAAGCAGCGTGTAGGGTTATTTATTAGCTGCTTTTAAACTTAAGATATACGGGCTAAGATACACACAGCACGTAAAGCCCGAGAGTTGACATATTGTCGCATGCTTTGAACACTTTCGCAGAAGATACGAAAGACTCCTTGTCACATTATCGCCCTCACTCTAATCCCTCCGGAGTATCTAATTCGCTATGCAAAGCCATGTTGATGAAGGTGTTTCAGCACACTACTCAACACACCCGATGCAGCACAATTGTACCAAGGCAAATTTCCACTTCATCGCCTTACATTTAGGCACTTTAACACCCTCGAAGGATGGATGGCTATACAAAGTCAAATCCAAGTGTGTTGGGAACTGTCAGGACTGCGATCATATACATTTTATTTACACATCCATCAACCACCAATGTCAAAGACTACGCGGCCAAACATGATGTGCTTTTTGCGTACTTTTCATTCCTGCATTCGCTCTCATGATCTAGCTGAAAAGCATTCGCATTACCACGGAGCTACCAAAGGTGTAGTCCGACAAAACCGTATTCGCCGCCCATGACCCTACGTTGCCTCCTAGAAGACGAGGTATCTACGTCTAAGCCTGGATCGCACGTCCCAAAGCACCGCCAGTGAACTGTTGATTCCTTCCACCCCGTGGTCCACCTCCGCCGCGACCACCACCACCACGGCCGCCTCCTCGGCCACCACGACCGCCACGTCCACCTTGCCTCTCAAAGGCGTTGGCGGTTCCTTGTGTGCGTTGCTCCAGTGTCTTCTCGTTCGACTCGATGAGACCGGATGCCTTGTCTGACAAGCTAAGCGCGAGCGTCTGTAGTCTTGACAGCTCAACACCCTTCCTGAAGATGATGGCGGAGTTGACTTGGTCGAGAGCGGCAGCGAGCTCCTCGTGTGAAATCATCTTGGAGACGACTGCGGAGACTTTGCGCTCCGACAGCTCGAACATACCCGCCAGTGTGGTGATGGAGAGCGTGTCGTAGAAAGGTGCGTATGTGAAGAGATATGTCCGGAGACCCTCTTCCTGGATTTGCGAGGAAAGCATCTCCTTAATCTTCTCCGAGTCGGCCATGAGCTCCCAGATCTTGATCGAGTTGATGAACTCCGCTGCCTTCTTCCATTCACCAGCAGACAGTGCCTTGGACGCCTGCATGACGTGATCACGCGTGTTCTCAGGAGGACCAGTGAAGATCTGGCGCTCATGGTACTCTAAGAGACGGCGGTAGGTCTTGCTGATGACTCGCTTCCTCAGGTCGGGCGAGGAGCCAAGCTGTGCGAGAAGAGGAATCTCAAGCAACATGGAGCAGGTCAGGTAGACGCACTCTAGCAGCTCAAGGTTGATGTGCATGTGGAAAGGAAGTTGCCGTTGACGCTCGAGACGCTCTTGCTCGGGCGAGATCTGGGAGTATCGCTGCATCTGCAGACCTTGTGCAAGCAGCTCCTTCTGCCTGTTGCTACCGCAGATCTCCTGCAGCGAGGTTTGTGCCTCGTAGACGAGACCGGCACGGAACGCGCAGAGACCGACTTGGACCAGCGCGCGGTTGAAGAGAATCTGTGTGTTGACGTCAAAGTTGCTAATGGTCTCTTGCAAATGCGACATGAGCATCATGTCGCGAGCCTTGTAGTACTGGTCGTGCAGAGACAGGAAGTAGATCTGGCACAACATGGCGCGAGCGCGGATGATGCCCTCACTGTTCTGGAAGAGGTATGTGCAAAGAGTTTGTACGAGGGAGGCGGTGTCGTTGGAGATGGCGCGGGGGGTGATCTCGGAGTCAAGGCTCTCCGGGATCGCCTTCCAGACGTTGTTCTCGAGGATAGTGATAACTTGGGAGGGCTATGGACGTTAGCATAGAAAGCAGAAAACGGCGTGTTTCTTACCTTGAAGTAGACGTGTTCCAATCTCCGCATAACAATGCGGTTCAGTGGCTCTTGTGGAAGTTCCAGGCTTGGGTTCTTCTTCATGCTCTCAACGTATACCAGGGTGCGCACCAGCTGAGCGTACAGCAGAGCCTCGTCGGTCAACCGTTCAATGTACTCGGAAGTGTGTGGGTCGATGTGCTGCAGCGAGCGGGTGAGCTCGTCGTCGAGCCTCTCAACGAAAGAGACGACGCTTCCTGGGATGCGGAAGATCTCGCCGGGTGTAATGGTGGGCAGCTTCTCGTCGTCCTCCCATTCCTCGGCGTTCTCGATGACAACAATCTCGTTGCTGTTCTCAAGAATCTCAAGGAGCTTTCCAAATTCCTGGTCGGCCCTGCGTTGTGTTAGCAAATGGCGAACATGTCAGGCCAAAGGTACTCACAGCTTCCACTGATCTTGGTGCATGTGGCTGGCAGTACCAGACGTCAAATCGAAGCGCGTCGAGATGAGGGTCAAAAGAACGCGGACCTTTTGGTAGTCATTGACGGCGACGTCGAACAGCTTCTCCAGTGTCCGGATGTGCTCCAGCTTGTCCGAGTTCTTGCGACCACGCTGCTCGACAATGGCGCGCAGGTGCTTGAGAATACCCTCAGCCGTGTACAGGACAGCCTTGCCACCAGCTCCGACTGTGATGAAGCCGTCGTCAGTGGCCTCCTCAACGACCTCGGTGCCGAGTTGAGGGATCTTGTTCTTCTTCTTCTTTTCCTTGGGTGCTTGAACCACTTCCTCCTCCTCGCGCATAAAGTCCTCCTTGTTCTCCCGGTAGGCGTTGATGTCCTTTTCAAAGTCGCGGTTGTGCTTCTTGATCTTCTGGCGGACAGCGTTGAAACCGCGGCCGTTGACAGCGTTCATCTTCTTGGGGGTGACCTTCTGCTTCTCGTGGGTCTCGAGGACAACCGTCTCGAGGTCGGCAACGGCCTGGATGTACAGCTTGGGGACCTTGCCATCGTTCTGCTTGGTCAGAGTAGGCACCTGGCGGATGAGCTTGTCGAACTCTGTATAACGCATGTCAGCACTGTTTGTGTACCCCGCCACCATGTTCTATGCTACCCCCAGAGCCACTTCGGAATTAGACGTACGCTCGGAAATGACAGCCCAGTCGTTGATCTTCTGCGCGTTCTCAATGAGCCGGATGGTCGCCTCGAGCTCGTCGAAGCGCTTGTCCTTGGCACTCTTCAGCACCTTGTTCACATCCTCGTCGTCGCTGTCGCTGTCGCTCGAGGCGTCCTTCAAGAAGCGGTTGGCTCCGGTTTCGGATCCAGAGTCGGACGAGTCGTCGTCATCGGATTCCTCGTCCGAGTCCTTGTCGCTGTCTTCCTGCTCAGACTCCTCGTCGTTGGAGTAGAGCTCCTCCTCGCTGGACTCGTCCGAGGAGCTGTCGCTGGCGGCAAAGAATCGTGACGCCATGGTTGCAGTGCTCGAGAGTAGGGATTTGCCGGAGGGGTCGAGGGTAATATGTGTGGCGGGCGCCGTGTGGGTTGACCAGAGTCACTGCCGCCTTGGTTGAACTTTCCGGAGCCGAATTTCGAGCCAGCGCCAAGCCATGACTGTGTGCCCCGCGCCTAACCCTAAGCAGACGCGAACGCCTTCACCACCATACGCTAGGACAATCACTCTAACCATGCAAGTCTGCACCGCGTCCAAAGCGTTGGTATTGACGTTCATTGATTGCGTTCACTACTAGTAATTCAATAGCACAGTCAGCCTACACCGAGCTCATTCATCCTCCAACCCCATCACGAGCATCGCAGCTGAAAGTATGCTTTTATGGCCATGGACACAGCCAAACAGGTTTATGAGAATGCTAATAAAAGTACATGTGCTGCCATCCACCGCTTCCCCGACTGCTGAGGACGTTCGAGTCATGGCTCGACATCTAGCGACCCCAGCCAAGCTGTTGAACATGCATCTGGTCCGCCCCGTTGTGTACCATTCAATCAAGACCCAGCTTCTCTCGTTCAGTGACTCCCAGTGCAGGCCGTGAGTCATCAATCTGGCCCAGCAGAGAGCCTGTCAGAAGCCAGTTGAGGGCGCTGTGCATCGTCAGAGCGTGGTACAATTTGAGCAGA